TTAATAAATGATAAAAAAATGCACTCAAAGTTTTTCTTCTCTTAATCTTATTTAAGACGAAAAATTCTAATATTCATAAGCTGTATTAAATATATTTTTATCGATTGCATATCTCTTCAAAATTCTTGTATCAAAAATAAATGGGATTCTAGTTTTAATAAAATATTAATTATTAAATAAAATATTTACAAACTAAGAACAATATTTTATTACGAATTCTATTCTGAAATAAAACACGTAAGAAAATTTAATACCTATTTTTTCTTAAAACTATTACTTCCTAAAAGTTCAACCAACGGAAAACCACATCAATATTAGTTAAAGGAAACTCTCTTAATGCTAAGCAAAACCGGAAAGATTAATATGCCATCAAAGAAATAAATCGCTCTTTTGCATCTTTAAACACTATAATTTTGGTCATCACAATTACGTATAATGTGTCCTAAGAGGTTGGAAAAAATCTTATGATGGTTTAAGTATTATCCAATAACAAGAATTTGAAGCGGACACAAAATTTTCTTTCTTTTTTTCTCATTAAAGTCTACCCCAAGAGTATTTAATGATAATCGATAGACTCATTAGTCTTTTAAATGGGAACAAAAATAGTTAAAATGGCTATTTTTTATAAACTGTGACCATGTTGGCGGCTTTTAATGCTCTTTCACGCCACGTTATCTCGAATGATCAATGAAGTTAAATTCGATTACAGAATGAAATGAATCGTGAACTTTTTGTGCCAAAAAGAGTTTTTATGCCGAATATAAATTTTTTTCGAAATTCATTATGTAATGTGAATTTAAATAATTCATTAACTTCTTACATATTTTCAAATGGTAATTATAAATAAATTTAAAGTTTAGTTACTTTGATAAAACATAAAATTTTTACATTTAAAAAGAAGTATGGTCTAAGTTCCAGAATATATTAAAATGTACCATGTCTTGGGATCTATGAGATTTATAACATGTGATAAAGTTTGGTAACTTTTTAACGATTCTGCATAGCATGGCATAAAAACCATTTATTCGGTTACAAAAACATTTCAAATTTGTGTTTCTTACTAAATGTGTGATAATAAAAACTACATTTTTGAAAACCAGAATTTACGATAAACCGTTAACACGTGAACGGAAAAACTATCAAATGAATGGTTCAAATTCCGTGTGTTTGGTTTTATTACGCAGATTTATGTTTTTTTCTTCCAAATCTGCCATAACCATGTAGTACATTGTAAAAAATTTCGGATCAAATTACAATAAAAAGTACCGGCACTCAGGATGACAATACTTTTAACCGTAAAATACTTTATTTCTGCAACATGTTACAGAGCAAGAAATCTAGTATACCACAATTTATAAAGTAAAAAATACCAGAAAATCACGAAATCACTCGAGCTAATCTAACGATTTCGTAACAATATTTTACGGCAAAAATGGATTTTACGGTGAAAAAAATTTTACGGATGATGCACTCAAAGTACCGGTAATTTACGCCGTAATATGATGCTGAATTTTTTTAAGTGTACGATAATTTTACCAAAATTTCCCTCTCCATATAAATTTAACAGTTCATCACTTTATAATGTTGTGAGTGCATTAAAATATTGTAAGGGAACTTATGAATGTCAAAGTGTTTATTATTCTCTGATATTTTATAAAATGTCACTACTTTAAGAGTCTTCTGTAAAGCTCTTTCTTTAAGTTAAGTAAAACGGTTACAATTTAAGTATGATAAAATCAAAAAGCTTTAACTTTGTAACTATGTATACAGTTAATAAAATAAATAGTTTAAATATTAGACAAATAGTTTGAATATTCTAGACAAATAGTTTAAATATTTAAAAAGCGATCTACATTAAAAAATTTCAAAGTTTTAAAAATTGGCGAGGATGTTTTCACATTGTTGTATATAAAAATGATAAAATATAAAATGTTTGTTGTGTATAAAAATGATAAAAATAAATTAATTCTTAAGTTTCGCACATTTTTATAAACTCAAACAACAATGCAATGATTTTTTTAAAGTTAGAAAATTAGCTAAGGAATGCTTTTCATTTTCACAACATTCTGGTTTACATCATAATAATGTTCTAACCAATCTCGTAATTAAGTGTGAACATGATAATTAAAGATAAAATATTTAACTCTATAGTCATTAGTAACTGTCACAAGATTATAAAAGTTGAAAAAAAATGCATATCTATTGATAAGAAACTTTGCTTCTCGTGATTATAAAAATACATCCTAAGAACAGTTATAACAATAGCAACTTTTAAGTTTTAAATAAATGTCTTAATTTATATTCTTGATAGTTTAACTAAGGTTGTTGACTTTTCTTTTTAATTATGATTTCTAAAAAAGAAGGGTAATGAAAATAAATGAATGAATGAATGTGTAAAATAAAAATTATTTCTAATCTTGTCCAGTGTTAAAATAGTTGAAATCTCCGGAACAAGTGTATCAAAATAAATTTTTGATTCAATCTTGTAATGTAACAACTTTGTCAGAATTTCTAAGGTTAATTATTAGAATTTTAAGGAATTAGAATTTATTCGAATTATCAGAATTTTTAAGGCAGTCATTGATTTTGAAGGTCAATTTCATAAATATTTCGTTACAAATAATTTTCTTCAAAGTATTTGAATCACAAGGAAATCCTAAGTTTGAACAAGGTGTATTTTTTAAGTTTCGTTTTAGAGTATATTTAGAGTAAAATCACGAAATTCTGTTAGAAGTACTACTAATATTCCGTTATATATATATATATATATCACTTAAAAAGTTATCCTTTTTGTCAAAAAATATATTTCTTATGAAATACTATGCACATATTATTCAAACTAATATTTAATATTTAGTTTTATGGAAGTCAGGAAACACTAAATGAATTGTTTTACCCATACACTACTTTCTTCCTCGAAATAATATTTTTTTATCGATTAATTTTAATAAATATTACAATAAATATGCATCGGAATGGTCAACACTTTTCGCTGAAGTCCTTCGAGGAATCTGTTCTCAGCTATTTGAAATCCCAAGGGAATCCCGAAAAGGAAATGAATAAAAGAGAAAAATATTCCCGAAAAAGAAATATAAAAAGGGAAAAACGAAAGGGACTTAGTGCTTGACACGTTGATTGCGTTTCCTTGTAATGGGGGAAACGGTTGGATCGAGTGTGAAGTTGACCCACAAGGTGGGCCGAAGAGCACACTAATTGATTCTCGACACCACATGGGGTGTCAAAAAGGCCGACCAAAGAAATGTGCACAACATTCTGGTTTTTGTTTATGTTTTATTCCCATACTCCCTAGGTAGCCAGTTCATTAGATTTATTCTTCCTGATGGAATAAGAAGATTTCTTTCCTTACATCATTTATAGCAAAGTTTAAATTTGGATTATATGGTAAAGGCTGGCTTATAAACTTTTGAATTGTATCTTTTTACACTGAGAAAAAAGTATGGTCGAAATTATCAGACTAAGGTAAAATTAGAATGAATATGACAAAATACTCGGTAATTCATTAGATTTATTCTTCCGGATGAAATAAGAAGATTTCTTACCTAACATCATTTATAGCAAAGTTTAAATTTGGATTATATGGTAAAGGCTGGCTTTTAAACTTTTGAATTGTATCTTTTTACACTGAGAAAAAGGATGGTCAAAATTATCAAACTATGGTAAAATTGGAATGAAGACACCAAACAGCTCGGCAGTTTTTTCCAAAACGATTTGGTAATTATTTTTGTAAAATTTACAAAAAAATATGGTTTTATACAGTGTGATAAAACTTGGTAACTTTTTTACGATGCCTTAAATAACCATTTATTCAGTTGAGTTTACTTCTAAGTTTAGTATTTTCTACTAAATGTGTGGAAACAAGAGTTGTAATTTTGAAAACCAGATTTTCCCAAGAACCGTTACCATTTAAATGGAAATATTACCAAATAAATGGTTTAAACACAGTATTATTTTTTATTAACCAGAATTATGACTTTTTTTACCGAAAATTTCATTACAATGTAGAATGGTAATTTTACCAAAACTGTTTAAATTTTTATAATTGTATTAGCGATTTGTATTAGAAAATCTAGTAACATTAAAATGTTCTTAGAAGAATTACAATAAATATATGCGTCATTTACACGTTTAGAAAAATCATATAAATTTTGAACCATAATACTAATACTTTCATTCATAGTAACCATGTTAATTTTCTGCAGCGTTGATATGGTATTTTATTGAGCAATGTTTTCGTTTAAATTTAAGCATAGTATCAGGCAGTGAAGTTTGAAAGCAACCTTAGTTTTTGAACGATAATAGATTTCAACACGTTACCGTAATAATAGCAAAGTAAATTTGTACATAGTAATTTTAGCAAAGTAAATTTAACATGCAATAAAATTTATATTCACCGATAAGCATGAATAGTCAAATAAAAAAGCAAAATAAAATATGGAACTATTTATTTGTGTCATTGCTGAATACCATGTTAGAATGTTTTTATTTCGACTTGTAGATATTGTAATTAAATAGTAAACATTTTGTAGTAGAATAGTTAATAAGTATCTTAATTCTTTACATGAATAACACTACATTTAATTTTAATTTTATATTATAACCAACAGCGAACAGCCAATCCAATTCTGAGTTAACAACATTCAATGTTCAATTTTTTAACCTTGTAATTTTGAAGACAAAGGCAAGAAGACAAGGAACTCCTGAATCAAGAATTGAGACAAACAAGCCTTAATATTTGCTTAATATTACTTAATATTTACTGCAATGACAGTGAAACGCTTTTCCAGATTTTTAATTTTGTAGATAAGTGAGGCTGTCTATTATTAAATGAGTAGTAACATGGAACGCAATTGGTATAGTTTATAGCTTCTTTTCAGTATTTTTTGATAGAAATTGCTGTTTTTTTTATTAAAAAAAGTTATATTTCCCAATGTTGAGACTTTTAGTTGGTATAGATTTAATAAAGTATTCTGTTCAATTACCTGTCCTTGGGGCTTTGGTTGCATCCAGGCCATAATATTCTGTTCCAAATACTGTTGGGCCTGTTGAGCTACAGGACCTGGAACAGCTGGTGTGCACGGGGTTGGGCCTTTTCCTTGCCGAGACATTCTAAATTAAACACAAAAATAATAATATTAAAAATGGTAATTTGTCTAAAAAATAAGTATTTCGTATTAAGAAGAAAAACTACCTTTAATTTGTATACCTTATTAAATACTTAATAACTTGTTACATTTAATAAAAATTATAATTATCATTTAAATTATTTAATATAAAAGTTATTTAATATAAAGTTGTATAAATATAGAGAAGAAAATAACTATTATAAACTAACTATAGAAACTACAGAAAACAACTAACGAGTATACATATGTTAAAAAACTAAATAATAACTAGGCAATTTTAAAATATACATTAAAACCATTCATTAAAAAAATGTAATGAAAACTAAGCATGTTATAGTAATTATTCTAGTTAATTACTTGATTATTGATCAAATCTAAAACTAATTTGAATTAAACTAAATTAAAGGCATATATTTTTGATAAGTATTTACTATAAATGATAAAATGTAAACTTGATAAAAAAAACTTTATATTTTTTTTGTTGTTCAAATTAGTGCTATATTATCTTGCAAAAATAAAATAATGTTGATTTCTTACATCAGTTTAATTTAATATATTTATTTTCATGTTTCATTATTCATAATATATTTAAAAACTGCAATGAGTATTTGTTTTTAATGTTTTAATCTATATAATAAATTAATATTTAAGTTTTAATTTTTCTTATATTTTATGCAATAAAAGTTAGATTAATTATTATTGAAATTGTATCGAGCTTATACGAACAATACCATATATTGTAATTCAAACAAGACACTTTTAAATTTCAGAAATTTTAGAGTAACCCTTATATTCAAGTTTAATTAATTTTCCTCACACTTGGACTCATTGAAGTAAATCACGGTTTCTCCACCGATTTATCGGGGGTTTACTGACACGCTGTCATCTTGGCGGAAATAAAGCGAAATCTACTGCTTATAGACACAAATTCAAATCCTGGGTCGCATGAACAAGACTTCCCCTTAAACCTGCCTTAATTCCTGGTCCGACAGAATTTATTTAATACTTCACTTGAAACAGTTGTCAACAAAAGCAGTTTCACCTCGAATTTGAAACAAATGCGCATGCGCAGAAGTCCTTGACTTTGGATATGGATGAGGTGGATTATAGGATGAACAAATGCGATAAAAGGAATATAGCGTGATTGCATTGGCTAACCAAATATATTTTCCCATGTCTTTCAAAAGTAAATGATGAGTTGTGAATATGATTTTAATGGAATTTGATGCAATTTTAAAATTATGTTTCATTTAGATATTTAACTGTTTTTTATATTCGACTCAATTTTTATTTGAATTTTTCTCATTGGTTTGATTAATATGTATGTGCTCATGAAATCTCCCACAATGCAGAAAAATTATTTGTGATTTTTTATACCGAAATTAAGCATACTTTTTCAGTTTAAATGGAGAAATACTTCATTCAAACTGTTCAGAAAAGCTAAATTCTATATAATTTTGATAACAATTGAAAATGTTTTATTAGTTCAATTCATACATAATATTTCTTTGTAGTTTGCTTAAAATCAGGATTCAAAGATTTAAGGAAAGAAGAGTAACGATTACAAACGCAAACTTCAAATATTCTTTGTGGGTTTATTAAATGTTTTAAAAACATCAAATTTACCTAAAAACTTCTTTCAACGTTTATATTTGAAATAAAAATAAATTAACTGTTTTATTTTCTCATGGAAGATTGCAAAATATTATTAATATTATGAATTATTATGCAAAATATCATTATTTGTAACTAATATTATTTTCCTCGTTTACTCAATAGTTGGAGTAAGATGTAGGATGACTAACAACTCTGATAATTAAGTAATAATATAAACGAAGATATAAAGGTTTATTTTCAAAAATGCCGAGAAATTAATTCATTTAGTTACAAAGTAAAATAGACAAAGATATCACTAAAATACAGTCAGACATTACTCTGAATGAAACAAAAAATCAAAGAATTCGATATAAAAATTAAGAAAAACAATGAATAATGCATTTATACACTTAGTTCACGCAACATACGTTCATCCAGGATGTGTTATTTGCTTCATTATATTCTCAATCGAACCTCTGAACATGTGCCTAAAATTTATACCTTAAGCACTGACATGAAGATATAAAGTTTTATTTACTAATTAGAATAACTGCTTATCATTTTACCTCATGTTACCTTTTCAGTTTTAGACTTGTTTTCATTACGCAAGCTTATTGGCTTATTGTAATTAAATTTAAAGCACATGATTTTAATGTTACGAGTTGCATTTAGAGAATATTTTAGGGAGGACAAAAAAAAGGGAACAATTATTGCAGTTGGGTAATTCCCTGTACTATGAAGTCCAATTATTGCAGACACATATTAAAGAATTACATTTTGACTCTCAACTAACAGTAGAATTATGAGAACTCTTGAATCAAACACTTGAATGAGAAGGAAACCAACAATTCATCTACAACTAAAGATATATTTCAAAACAGGATTTGTATACCAGTTACAACTCGAATGGAATTCAAATCAGTGGTCTCTTTAATGTAGAAGACAATCGCTCTAGCGTTTTGGCAGTTTAGTTTGCTTACATTTAGTTTATGTTTATCAGGGTTGGCTGCTTCAAACCAATGCAGTTTAAACCGTTGTTTGTTTTAAAAAAAACAAGCTTATTATTTTTAAGGAAAAAATATTTTTAAATACTTAATTTGTTATTGTTTTTTTAAATATTCTTAGTTTAAATATGAATAAATGGTAAAAAAGTATAGTTTCTTATATAAATCTTTCTAATATTGAATTAAGCAGCTCTTCTGATTCTGGATTACTTTAACTAACTTTTTAAATACTTACATATCGTTGTACTTCTGAGAAAATATATTTATCAAATAAATTAATTTGAGTAAATTCGAACTTAAGTCATAATTCGCTAAATAATCTTAAGATACTACAGACCATCACCAACTCCATGTTCTGAGAGTTTTTTAAATAATTAAAAAAATACGTTATAAATATAATTAATAAAATAAAATATATTAAATTATATAAGAGTATAGAAGAAGTTTCGATCAAAATTTTCTTTGTTTTCTTAATCTTGTTAAAAATTATATTAGGCTTGCTACACTCAAAAGTAAATAGAAATGAGGTGTTTCTTTGAAATTTATATTTTAATATTCAGTTTATTTCTTAAAAAGAATTTTGATATCAATGTAAACAAATGTAATATTATGCATACAGTATATTTTTATTTTATTAATGATTCTAATATTTTCAAAATACGATACTTATATTTACGAGTATAATTGAAAAGTTTTGCAGAATATTCAAACCTCTTTTAAAATATTATCAATGGATATTACTTTATTTAATTATGTATTATTTATAAGCCTTGTCATCATTAAAACTTCATTGTATTAAAATAAATCTCATAAAAAGTAGTTTATTCTTTATTTATTATTTAATACCTTTGTATGTATTTATACAATCCATTTGAAATTTTTAGTTCTATAATATCATTCCATTAGTTAAAAAAAATTAATGAAAAAATATATTACCTTACATTTTTTTATGAAAAAAGACATCATAATTTTATTAAGTAAATTGGCACAGACATTGTAAATTGCATACTTCTAATTAATGACATTAAATAATGCTAAAGTATGGCATTTTTATGCATACGGACGAACAATGGGAAATAATGAGACAAATAATGGGTAAAAATGGGACAAACAATGAGACACTCCTTTTTACATACATAACTGAATTAACATTTCACAACTGAATTAACGTTTTACTGAATTAACATTTTAAATTTACCGGAGGTGGACAAAACATATTTCTGTACTAATACATTTTTTACATATTTTTCAAGAATTATTTAAAGAATAAATACACAATTTCAGAAACGTTTAGATCATGCAATCTCCCATACTTATCAACGAAGTTTGAAGCTTTTAAAAGTTTGAGGGACCGACAATAAATTACAAGTAAAAAATAGAATTTTTGATTACCCAATGCCAAAAAGTGAAGCGATAAATGCGTAACTTGAAGCAATTATTTCGCTTTTGCATGCAATAATTGCACACAATTTCGTAAACCTAGCTTAAATATTTATGGAGATATGGACATTTTTATAAAAAATCTAAATTTTGGTCTTAAGTGTTTTTGCTATAACTTCAAAAATATTCAATAAAATTAAACAAAAATTTTAGAGTTATTTAAAATTAGCTATAAAATTTTTGCTTTAAAATTTGAGAAAATTCGCTTAAAATTGAGCAAGATATGAGTAATTAAAGTAATTCTTTTACACATGCGCATGTGCGGGAAAAATTTAAAAACTTTTTTTCTTAGTTTCGTAGTGAATCGTATTTGGCAACTAACAAAAAAAGTCCGATTGGAATATCTCAAAAATATAATAAGTTTTAAGCAATTTTCTTAGGAGTTTTTGTATTTTTTAAAAGAAACTCAAAATGATATGGGGTTTTCTATAAATATAATTATGTATCATAAGACAAAATTAAATAACAAATTATAATGCTTTTCAATAAACGTTCAAACACCGAAGTATGATTGCATGAGGAAAGAAAACAGAAAAGATACTTTTATGGGAAAGATCCCCAGCAATGCCGGTGTCATTTTTAATAAATCTAATTTAAAAGTACGAAAGGAAATTTGTTGAAAACCCCTTATAATTTTGAGTTTCCTTCATAAAAAGCAAAAACTACTTGGTTGCTTGCAAGTTTTTAAAATTTTTCAGGTATTCAAATCGGACTTTATTACTTGCTAGACACGATTTTTTACAAAATTAAGAAAAACTATTTCCAAATTTTCCCGGGCATGCTCAGCATAAAAGAACTTATTTAATTATTCATATCTTGTGCAGTATTAAACGAATTTTTTTCAAATTTTAAAGCAATAGTTTTGTAACTAATTTTAAATTGCCTTGAAGATTTTGTTTAGTTTTAATGAATATTTATAAAATATAGCAAAAAAACATAAGAC